TTTCCCTGCCTTTTTCACCACAGACCTCCAGACTGTCTCGCTCCAGGGCAAAAATTCCCAGCTGCACTTTCCTTCTTGCTGCAGTTCCCACAAATGAATCCCCTTCACTTTTCTCCCTGCCACAGTGATCCACACGAAGACACAAGTACAGAAATGCAGTGCTAAAAAAAAAACAGGTTCTTGCACAACTTCAGATGAGGAAACACGCAGGAAAAAATAACACCACCCCTCGTACACAGGCTCCATTTTCTTTACTCTCCCCCTTTCTGATTCCTGTGAAAATATACAGTGTATAAAGTAGGTTCACTGCTTGTTGCCCAGGTCTGCTGTAAAAGACCTAAGCAGCTTTATAGTGAAGCAATGAAGATCTCAGAGGGGCATTTTCTAGCCTATATTTGTGCTGTTGTTATCATAGCCTTTTGGAACATCTGTCATCTGTGTGTGTGTGTTGGTAGGGGGGGGGTGTTTTTTACCCTCAGTGAAGAGAAAACAGGCTGAGAAAAGCTGTTGCTGATGCTGGAAATTAGTGAAACTAATCTTTAGAAGACCTTTGCCTCTACACACACAGTGGGTGACTTCTCCCTGCAAGACGCCAACTACAAACTCAAGAGAAGTTATTGTCTTAACCCAAATGCATGATCTTAAAAAAAGCTTCTTTTAGGCAGGCAGAAGTCACATTTTTCACAACTGGAAGAGTTTTTATTTTAAGTTTTTGTCAGCTGCACATTGTCTCTTGATGTATTTTCAAACAGACTGAAATCCCACTACTACAGGTCACACTGTAGACCCTTAGTGACAACAAACTGAGAAATGCTTGAATGTTATTTATTTTTTATTCCACTGCACATGAGAAAAGTACTTTTAGTTGAAAATGTAATCACTTATAAAGAAACCACTGAGTGTGTTCATGAGCAGATACAAGACATTTGCGACAACATAATGCATTTAGTGGAATTCGGTAAGACTGTGTTGTCAAAAAAGCACTCTAAATGATTTAGATGGTTTGTCCCAGCTCTGTCTGTTTGTATTTATGCCCGAGAACTTGAGAAAAGACTCTATGCTCACTTCCTCCCCCACTAAAACATCCAGACCGGTGCTTAAAATAACCTTTTTTTTTTAGGGATGAGCAGGCAAATAGAAGTGAAAGAAAGAAAAATCAGATATGGAAAGAAAACAAACAAAATCGGGCACTGAGTCTTGCATCACCAATTGCAATTCAGCAGAGTTGTGGTGATAAGTACAGGGTAGCTCGTGTTGAGCTGTCTGTCTGTCTGTCTGAATGACCCAGAAGTCTCAAATATCAGGAAATTTCACTCTGCTGATAAAAGCACTACAACAGTCTGGGTAATGTGAAACTGCTGCTGCACAAATGCAAAGAAAGCATGGCCTAATAAAATGATTTCAAAGCAGAAGTTTGCCATTTAGAAAACACCCTTGCTTGCGTGCACAGAGTTAAATAAGACCAATAACTCATGTCTATTAAATAGAAAGCAGCTGGTTAGCAGGAGCTAGGGTGGAAACAACACTCAGTCTTTTTTAAGGTTTAAACAAACAAAATTGAATGTGTTAATAATGGAGTTTTAGAGGTGTTCAACCCTGTTTCCAGGTTTAATGCTAAGCTATGCTAAGCAGCTGCTGGCTGTAGCTCGTATTTACTCTGCAAAGCTAATCTGCAGGTATCAATCTTCTTATCTAAATCTCAGTGTATGGTGTATTTCCCAAAATATCAAATCTATTGCTTTAAAGAAGATATGGAATCAGTACGATGGACCAAACATCAGGAAACTGAGTTGATGTCTGTATTTTAGTTCGTATCGAACTGGACAGATTCTGTATGTAGCTCACTTTTCCTTCCAGATGCTGTGAGCTTTGTGTTCCCAGTCTGATACCGCACCTAGGAGATTGTGCATAAATCCTCAGTACATGTGTCTCCTGGAAAAGAAATATGAATTTTAAAACAGAGAAAAGTGAAGAACAGACTTTTCAGCTTGAAGTTCAAAAAACTATTTTCATAAATATTCAGCGGAGCTGACAGAGCAGCATTATGAAGGCATTTCTGACATTCTTTCTCCAGAAAGCATCTAAAACATCAGTCTCTGACCTCTCAGCAGTCAGTTCTCATGTAATGGATAGAGGAGAAGCCTCTTCCACATCCAGGCCACAAACATAAAGGGACAAGGTAACAGCTGGGAGAATGAGACAGAGAGAGGATGAAGGACACATCAAAAGAAAGAAAACAATAAAGAAAGAAGTGGAAAAGACATCCAGGCCAACTTGCACATAAAAGAAATCAGGCTTGTTCCCACCATTTGGAACTGAAATAAAATGGCAGTATCCCTCTTCTGCTGCTTTGATTCCTCTTTCATTGTCCCTTCCCATCATTCACGTTCTTTTGGGCAGCTTTGACCCGACTGGAGCTCTGCAGCCACAGCGCTGAACCAAAAGGAAGTGGAACCACACCGCCACATTCTACCAGAACTGAGTGAGCCTTTTATAGTCTTTCTGTGCTGGCTGGATATTCACAGGCCTAGACTACCACCGAAGACAATAAACACTCCCTTTAGGATTTACAAAATACATTAAAAATAAAGCAAAGAGGGTCAAAGCTTGAGAGTGAAAGTGAGAAAGTCACATTACCAAAGAGGGGAAAATGTACATTTTCCAAGATGTTAAGCTGCTTCATTTTTGCAATGAAAAAAGACTAAATACTTGGAGGATGTATTAGTTATTACAGTCACTGGGCTTCAATAGAATACAAAGATCAGGTGTTCATCACACAAGAAGGGAAAGGATTGAGTAATCAGTACCAAAATCACCTGGAGGACCAGACTGTGATGGGGCAAACTCAGCCAATCAACAGTGATTACGGTAGTCGATGTCATCACACAGGCGTCTCCTCTCATGACACGAAGAGTCCTCACACAGATACTGACACACGCGCATGCACAGATGATGATTGCATGGAGGGATGGATAGAAGACAAGGAAAATGAGAATGACAAATGTGGTTGTGAATGATTTCAGCACTCATCAGCTGCCGACTGTGGGTTTGTAGGTTACCATGGGCTGCTGAGGTTGCTCGTGTTCATTCTCTGCAGGGCTGGTGGATGAAGCTAAACAGATGACAAGAGACAACATTTTTAAAAAGTTCATTTGTGTGTGTGTGTGTGTCTGTCCGGGTGTTGCTGCAGAGACAGCACAGCTAATTGTTTATTTTGGCAGACAGTGAAAGGAAAGCCCAGGAAATGTATTGCAGATACACAAACCTTGAACATTTATGCACTTATAAAAATCTGGCGTGAGTCTCTGGAGCAGAGCATTTCTCAAATGTTCCCAAACTGACTTCACAGGAGAAGAATGTGAAGAATGCTCTGAATGCACGTCTCTTTATAATGTGGGGGAAATTGGACATGATTGAATCAGAGTGTCAGGTTAATTTACCTTGGAAGGCCATCCTAACCTGAACATATAACTCCTTTTTATTGATTCAGTACTTTCAGCAGCAGCTTCACACATCCACACACATGTGTAGAAGGAGTGACTGATAATTAGTGAAAGGGACATTCACAATGTACTGTACAGCCAAATGTAACTAGAGCAGGCCTCAGCTGGGGACAGGACGTCTCCCCAGCTGTGTGTGTGTGTGTGTGTGCAACACCTCCGAACACATTTGTACTGAATAATTACCTTCACAACAGTATTCTTCCTGTGAAGTTTGACATCTGTTTGGTGGATCTGGTTCTTGACTTTTGACCTCACTAACTCCCACTTTGGCACTTTCAGTCCTCCCTTCCTCGTACATGTCTTCTCTCAGGTTGTTCTGTGTCTCCCTGTGGGGGTATCAGAATCAGGAAATATTACTCCTTTGCTGAAGGGAATCCAGTTAAACACAATGCTATTTACTTTAGGTTTTCCGGTTAATGTCAAGATCCTGGAACTAGATTTAGTTCAGCGATCTCTGCTGGATGATATTTTGTCACTGAGTCCAGTAGCTGTGAGGATGCTTGTTGCTATGTACAAGCTAATAAGAGTGCACAGATCTTTTTTTACAATGATAAGGGGTTGACATCTGAATTGCTGGAGACATTTCTGGTAACATTAGACTACAAAGAGTTTACAAATATTTGCTTGTCAAGTCAGAACAGCAGGGGATTCTTTGATGCAAGTTTGGGAGATTTACACGTGCGCTAATAAACATGTGATGGCTTTGTGTGGCTGTATTTAGGCACAGCACTCCTGCTAACATTGGTATGATAACATGGTCACAGTGTTACTGCGCATATTATGTTTACTGTGGTCACTATCTTAGTTAAGCATGTTAGCATTAAAAATACACACACATATACACAAAGTCATCACAACCAATAATTTAAATTTCAGTACAACCATCCATGTGGTGTGTTTTCATTTATAGGCCACAGGGGCCATCAGAAGCATGTCTTGACAAGTTAAACCCTAACATTATAATGATATTGCTCCTCAGAGAGATTCATACATGCAGCCATTCTGAAGTATTTACATGTACCAAAGCATGTTTTTCACTTTAACTGCACTTTTTTGGTAAAATTACTTCAGACAGCTTTTCCATTTTATGGTCCATCTTACCCAACATGTGACAGTAATACCGTAAAGCACCCAGAAACGTCCTAAGCCAAGCCAGAATTTACGACCAATAACCAAACTGAAGTTTCTAATGAAAGGGCTGCAGAAACAACACATGAGGTTTTTGGGAGGAAGCACCCATGAATCATTCCTCTACACAGGAATCTCCATATTAGATATGGCACATAAAATTAGGGGCCGATTGTTGACAATATTACTTGTCTGGACATATCCTGTACCCGTGTCCTGCAGTCTTGATGTGCCAAAGACATGCTACTACAGTATGCCTTGGCAGGATTAAATCTAATCCCCAAAAAGATTATACAGTTTGAATTGCTTCACGGGCTGCATGAGTGCAGTCATATTTAGCATTTATGGCCTCCATGGCCATGATTCTCCAAACATGGAAGAGTTAGCATGCTACTGAGCAATACAGAGAGTTGATCTGTTAGCCAGTGAGTAAAATATGTTTTCATTTCTTTTCTGTTGTGATTTTGTTTCATGTACTTAAATATAATTTGATGGAGCACCATCTTAATAGTTTTCGTCCTTCCTGTTATTTGAGGTAAACTCATCGGTCTCACCTCTGGTAAGTAGCTGGGTCGGTGATGTCCCACCTCACATCCTGTCCAAAAAAGCCCACATGATCGCCGCCCTCTGTCCACAGTCCAGCAGAGCCATCGGATGAGGCTGTGAGGACAAGCAGTCTGTCAGCCACCCTGAGCACTTCCACACTTACTAACCCTCTCGTATGAGCCTTCCAGCGCTGTAGCAGAGGAGGCTGCTCACAGAATGACTGTGGAGAAAAGGAATATTTCACGTACATGGAAATATACAGTACAACTACACTGTTTTCCTTGGTTTCTCACCAGCTCACCCTGTGTTGGATGTCCACTGCATAGTGAGAGATGTCCCAGATCTGAAGCCAGCCTGTTGTGTCACCTGAGACCAGGACTTTGTTTTCAGGCTGATCTGAGCTCAGGCTCAGCACACGCTCCTCTGGCTGCTCTGGAGCATAGAACTGACCTGGAGTAAGGAGAATGATCTGAACTGTACTCCCACAGTTTTCCAAACAAGAAACCAAGTAAAGTCTACAATAGATGTTTAGTTTGTTTTAACAGTAGTCTCCTGGAGGTTTTTATAAGCAGTAGAAGGCCCACAGAGAGTACAACGGGTTCACCCAAAGGTGAATGCAAGCAAATCTATTAATATTCAGATTTGTGCCAACTTCAAGAATACTGTTTGACTTAAATGAGAGCTATACTTCTACCTTTTAATGCTTTCTGTTATGACACACATCTCCTTGTTATGTCACAATCTGAAATTTCCACATGGAGACATATACTGACCTTTACACACTCACAGACGCACACTGGCTCACTCATACACCATTGTATACACATATGCAGCGGCCACAGTGCATGAATCCCACACCACTAAACACAGATGGGATGTGGAAAGCGACATAGCTGTGGGCTGCCAGCAGTGGTAGTGGCAGGAGGCCAAGTCAACAGTTCAGCCTAAATGCTACTTTTTTGACTGTATGTAAATCCATCTTAAAGGAGGATCATTAAAACTGACAGCTGCTTCTCAATTTGTACACTTCAGTGCTTCCACCTTACTCATGGTGTGAGAGTTCATTTTACATTTATATATTTTACATCACAGTTTTTCTGAATGACCTCACATCAGCGGCCCCTGCAACTTCTTCAGTGTCCCACTCACCGTAAGTGGAAGTCTGTCCAGTGATGCTCCAAAAGGACAGACAGCCAGCCTGCGATGACACCAGGACACCTCTGTTTCTCAACTTTCTGTTGCCCGCTCGGTGCTGCAGGAACAAGAGGCTGTCTACAGGAGGCATGTCTCTGCATGTTCACAAGGTGAAGGACAAAAAACAAAAATAAGACTATGTCGGTTCCCACCAGGCAGCAACCTCCAAGGCTGAGAAATGAAGCAAATGGTTAAGTGCCAAAATCTGCATTTCCTTGAATGGCCACTTGAGGCTGGCTCCAAAAGGGAGTCAGTCCCCATACACTCCCATGTTCAAATGCTCAACTTTACAACAGAAATAAATGTGTTTAAAGGTAAGGTTAATGATTCTTTTCAGAAGCATTTTTTTTGTTACATATCCTGAAATTCCCTGGCAGCTGTGATAATAAATGGCATCTCTTTTTCCATCATATCTGACACACACAACAGCAGTACATAACACTCAGTGACAACACAGCTGTGTCATCTTACCCTGCCTGGATCTCTCTCTGTAGCTGGACCAGTGGTCCTTGTGTCTCCAGCCTCCAGATAACAACCTTTCCATCATGACTTGCTGTGGCAATGACGCCCAGAACTGAGCACTGACAGACAGCCAGGATGTCTGATTTGTGGACACCGCTGGACTTCCACGACATGTGTGCTCTCACATACAGATCCTATGGAAACATTTATATGGAGTGTTAAGACTGAATATCATCCATTTCAGAAGTTGTGTGTAAACTAGCAGGCTCTGCTGTGTTCACAGGCATGTGTTTGTAAAGCTCTTTGCACTTCACTTGAGACAGTTTACAAAAAGACTAAAATAATGTAACTGTTTGTGTTGCCTTGTGGAAAGCAACACTTTTTCCTTCTCTGGTTTACTGATTTTGTTTACGTATCTGGGCTACAGTGTTATGTCAGCTCTTTAAAATGTGGAAGTTCAGCATGGTGGACGTCAGAAACACCGGTGCAGATGTCATGGGGGCAGCAGAAAAGGTAATGAAGTGCTGCTTTTCACCCTGTTGTTAAGTTACTCTGTGTAAAACTGCAGTGGATTATAAATTTAAAGCACCTTTAATTTTACCTTGGCACCTGCAATGTCATACTGAGCAATTTGCTGGCTCCACCCCACAGCCAGCAGCTGGTTGTCACAAAGACATGTCACCCCGGTGACTTCAGTGTTGGTGACAGGTTCCAGTTTGTGCAGATTCAGGCCATTTAGTAAGTTCCATACCTGTTTGGAGTGGTCAGAGAGAGGATCTTCTCATTATCAAACTCCTTTTTACTGCTCTCATACATGCGAAATAAAATGTATGTGATATATCATGTATCTACATGGGTGGCGCCAAGGACTGTCACCCCTGCCAGAGTCAAAATGTGATGCTTGTTAAGTAGTAAGTATAATAATAAGAATTATGTTTCAGTAATAATGAATGAAAACTGAAAAAAACAATAGCAAATTGTTGCTGAAATACAACTAACATGATTATGGTGTTTTATAATTGATGTTGGTCAAATATAGTTATTTTATGTCATGCATGCAGCATGATCATTGCATTCATTTTTTTGAATGTGTTATTGTGGCTACCTGGCATGGTTTGCCTCATTGGGGTGGGGACTAGCATTATGCTGCAGCTAAAAGTACCTCTTTGCCCATCTGGCAGTACTTTTGGTTAAAAAAACCAAAACAAAATGTTAATGAGAATTATGTAATATTTAAGATCAAAGTTTTTTTCATTGTCAATTCACTATATGTGCAGAACATACAGAAAATTGAAATACTGTTTCTTTGTCACCTAGTATTGAATGCCATCGCATTTAGGAAACTAAAATAGAATAAAAAAGAATAAGAAAACTAAATCAAAGTGATTAGGATAAACCTAAAAGGTAATAGGCTATTAATGTAGCAGACGAACAGACGATGGATCGTCATAACCATTTGCGTGAACAAAAATGTGCTATATTTCTATCATTGATGTGATTGACTGGTAGTTTTACCAGTGAAGGCGTATACAGTGTTTCTGAATTGATAGTATTCAACCTTAATGGTGCCATTACGAGCCCCAGTGATCAGTCGTCTGTGGGTGGAGTCTAGTGTCATGCAGGTCAATTCATCTTCCCCATGAGCATTTAAGATCTGAAGCCTCCTCTTCCCTGTCTCTACATCCCACAGCGACACAGATGAGTTGGTATGTCCAGTCACCACCTGTCTCAGAGTGGGGTTGTACAGAGCACAGGAGAGAGCAGGACCACTTGGAATTTCTGGTCCAAATTCACTTCCTTCATCTGGCAACCATCCACCCCCTCCTCTTCTTGTTTGAGCAAGATTGACCAGTGCCAGGTAATCTTTGCATCCCACCACTAAATGAGGCTGTGTGTGTTCAAGAAAAGAAGGGCTCAGTAACAGGAAAGGGAAGTTGCCATGTTCTGGTATTTGGGCTGGCTGCAGGCAGGGGAACCGCAGGCGGACAGTTTTCAGACAGTGATGGGTGGAAATGTCCCAAACCCTCAGCTCCTGAAACATGAAATAAACATAGGCTGTTTTTGTAGTAATTTGTCATGGCACAGACCCACTGTCAGGCCAGTTTACCATCATAAACTGACTCACCGCATCTCTGGAGTAGCTGAAGATCTGCTGAACAGGTTGGTAGATTGCAACATCCAGTATGCTGGTGTGGTGACCTAGCAGTGTAGCTGCAGGATGTGTGGTCACATATAGAGTCCACAGCCTGACTGCTCGGTCACAACCTCCCGTGACAATCAGCTGCAAAGATGCATTGTAGTCAAAACATTTGACCCCCTGAAAAGGACACAAAAATACCAACATTCCTAAGTTAAAAGAGAACGTTCTGGTATGAAGTGACATCTTCATGAACCTGTGTTTAATGTCTTTGTACTTTGGGGAAAAAACGTCTGGCTACCGGTCACACACAAACCAAGTTAGCTGATCTCATTAGCTTGCACTGGGGAATTTTTAAGGGTGGCTCCATTGTTAAAATGTCCAGACACATAACTGGAATATAAAATTACTGTGTAGTTGTTCAAAAAAGCCACTATGTATAACAGGAAGCATCTGCACCCAGTTTTGTAATGTTTTGTGCAACAGCATTACTTTTCTACACTTAGTGTGACACTGGTTGCCACCGTATGTTTCCATCTCATATTTGTTCTTCTAAAAAGAACCAGTTAGAGATAATTCACTGAGTTAAGTCATATAGTATATGCCATATAAGGACACGCCTATTCCATCTAAATGGTTTTCAGAAGTGACGGTTGATTTCCAAACCTTGACCCAACCAGCTGGGTCTGTGTCACCCAGACCAGAGCGCTGTGACTCCTAAGTGTCCAAATGACCTTAATCCATGTCAAATGTGGGTAACTTCAAATAATTTTCACTAGCTTTTATCTTCTCGTGCTGCTGTTTCTAAGATGAAGTCTAGAAATACACTTCTGAAAACATATGTTCTCTCCAGTACTTACAGCATTAATATGTAGAGCTGGGACCGAGGCCACAGAGGGGTAAAAAGCACTGAGGACATGACCCATCTTTAGTGGGGATATGTCTCTCTGGAAATTGGGGTCTTGTTATCAGTTCAATAATTCCATGCATTATACAAATTTAATGTTTAATGTTAATGTAAGAATGAGCTATAATTCATAGTAAGTGTTGCTACAGACAATACATAACAACTTACAGTTTATCATCGGTTCAGGCACAGTAACATCACGAGGTGAATTACCTGCTTAATTTTTATAATGTAAGGCTCCCGCTTTACTGTCACTGTCATAAAGACCACAGAGGTGCTGTCACTTTCTGATGATGTCATGATGATATTGGTACTGGACTCATACATCACTCTGGTGACTGGTTTCTGATGGATGTTTGGGATGTGATGGTAGGAGACCATGCTGCTATGTTCACTGAGGTCCTGTTAAATAACAATAAATTCTTAAGTGTTGTTTGCAAAACAGTTACCCATAACTATCTCAGTGGTTTCTCAGGCTTACTGGGAAAAAGATCCTCTGTAGGCCTTTGTCTTTCTTTGATGGGTTCTTAAAAAGACCTTTAGAGTGGTTCAAGAACCTCATGAGGTGGACGCCTCCTTTTTCATCCCCCAGTAGCAGCAGAGGAGGGCGCTCTGGACACTTGGAGGGAAAAGCCACATGACATGAACTGATGAATTATTTGCTTTGTGAGTTACCCTGTCAAACAACATGATTTTAAAGAAATCGTGGCCTTACCTGGACATCATACCAGTAACAGAGAGCAGTCAGGACACTACGGAATCCTTCAAAGGAAGATTAGACAGTTACCATTTGAAACATTTGTACAGCTTTATTAATCAACTTAGTACACTTTACTACATGTTAGCAATGACGTATACCAAACAAGTGGACATCCTCAAATACACTTGTTGTAGAGACATTGACAAAGTGCAAGTCCCTGCAGTCGGTCGCTATGGCAACCCTGTGAACATTTCCCATATACACAGCATCCGTGGTCCAGCCTCTGAACCTCCTCGTGTTGGCCACTTCCTCTGTTGGGTCGCCGGCAAGCTGAGAAGCACATGTAAAAAACACATTCTGAGTGTGTTGTATTTCTGTGTGGATGCAAAAGCAGTGCTATGATGTCACTCACCCCCACAGTTTTGAGGATGTGTAGGCTGCTGTTCCAGACAGTGATCTGACCCCCTTTACTGACACTAATATAGCGGAGTGGAGGAGGATGGGAAACAGCAACCACACGCACTGTTGGCTCCCGCTGCATACCAAGGAGTATAAAATAAGGTTAGTGACAGGAATAAAGCACTTACTTATAGAAAAAAAAATTGCATAAAACATAAATGAATAAAATAAGTAAACTTGTGATACAGCCCACTTTTGGAGCAATCAGTAACAAGATTCCTTCGCCTTATAGCTTTAGCGCCATTATTCTCCATGAGCTGCAAGAACAGCTGAATTTGTTACGAGTTTTATACTGACATACCAGCATTATTTATTTATCAAAGCCTGTGTGTAAGATCTGACTGACTTTGGTGAGTTCTGGAGAAAGTAAAAAATAATAAATAAATAAATAAATAAAATACAGCAACGTTTTGACAAGTCACAATAGAAAAAACACTGGTTCAAATAATGTTGTTTACAGGCAATGTGTAATTAGTAGAACCTGTGTTTTTCTTCCTGCTACTCAAAATGCTCCTAAAGACAAGACAAAATCTCTGACCAGGGAACAGCCAAACAAAGTCTTCTCATTTTTGGCCACTAGGGGGCAGAAGAAGCCACAACGAGCTGACAGAGCTGGCTAATTGACCTAAGGCTGCACTTACAGCACAAAACAACATTGTCTTTTCACTGAAGTTGTATCTCTGGCCATCCGATAAATGTGCTGTAACTCTACTTTTCTTTTTAGCTTTGTTTTGGTTCCTGCCAACTTCAGAAGACAATGACCTGTTGACTTTTTTAGCTTGCTAACATTGGATATCTTCACCAGCTGGTTGCTAATGTTAACTTTATTGCTGGGCAGGTCACATACAATATTAGCAGAACATATGTGTAAATTTATGGTAAGACTATATATCTGAACAGTACAGTGAACTTGTAGGCCGTAGAATTTAAAAATAGCTTACAGATCACACAAAGCTCTATAAAACTATGTGGTCATAATAAGTCTGTCACTGTGAGTGGCATGTTTCACATCTAAGTTAATGTAGCTGCTAATTCAATATAACACATGTCAGGGAGAATGTGAAAACAAACACACCCATTAGCAAATCATACAAATATAGCAGAAGCAGCTCTTAATGACTGACCGACTAGCTCCTTTGTATCTCCATCTCTGGGCAGTGGGTGCAGTCTCTTTCTCTACTCAAAACTATGGTGGGTATTTAAGTGAAAGTGTATAAACTTTGTACCTAGAAAGATATGCCATACCCTCTTTACCAGAGTGAGGCCAGTGGATTCCCACCTTGTTGTGAGAGCAGTGTCTGATCTGTGGCTGGGAGTCCAGGAGAGCAGCTGCAGGGATGGAGGCGCGTTCTCTCTCAGTGTACTCTAGAAGCAGGTAGGAACACAACTGTTGCCACTTCACCTGTCCTGTACAACTGATATCTACCTGGATATGGAGACATTAATGGGGTCAGTGCCTGTATACCTCTGTGATTTGGAAGCACCCTAAATTTTGGGTGGCACAGTATCTTTTTGCTGATGGGATGTGCTATATTATATTGTATAATGGCTGTAATGTAGGTTGTGTGCTGTTCTTTTTTAAATCAGTACGTTTACCGGGACTTTCTGTATTTCACTTTACCTCAGAAAAGAATCTCTCAGCCCATGTGTCCTCAAAATCTGGACCAATCACAGACCTCAGAATGTCCCGAAACTCCTCAAGATTCATCCCATGTTCTTTATTTGCTCCTCTGTTACTTGTGCTCCTTCCGTTTGGCCTGTCTTCCTGTATTTGTACTCCAGCTTTTGCACCAGTAAATGCATTTCTCAGGCGCTGCATGTGCTCTGGGCTCAGTTTCTCTGCAGGACTGACTCCACATGCTGGATCACTACAGAAAAGATGTTAAAGGAACAGTTTAAGTTGTGCAGAAACTGGAAGTTTTAACTTGCTTGTTAGGTAAACACCAATAATGAATGGCATTGTAAATAAAAATCAAACAGAGATGACCCCTCATAAAATCAGTATCATTAGCCATGTTTAATGCTGTTGCTGTTTTTGTATACTTGCTGATTTAGGAGTCCAGAGCACCAGGAGCAGGTCATTTACTCCTGTGACTCTTTAAGGAGGTCATAACTTCATGCATGCTCTTAAGTTGGGAGCTATTCTTAATTTTATGACTGCAGCCCCGAGCCAGCTCCTCAGGTGAATTGTGTGTGCAGTTGTACAGCTGGGTCAAAATGTGCAGGACATATAGTAAGTGTTAAAAACACTGTGGCTAGGCGTGTACACAGAGGACTGAAGCCAGCCAAACGCTGATCAGGGACAGTTTGGTGTCCTTGCAGCAGTTATTTTAGTCTTCGTGACTGCTTTGTGAGCTGTTTATTCATTCTGCCCTGTTGTTGACAACTGTTCACTTCAGAATGAATGCAGTGCTCCCGACTGGCAGAACTGGGACAACACACTCCTGATCAATGCAAGAGTTTAAAATCTCATTATGAAGTCTCATATAATGCATATTAATCTGAGACACATGATAAGTATAAGGGATATATACTGTATATTTGATGTATAATGTAGATGTATAGTTGAACAGTGAGTGTTAATGTGTGTACTTGGTCAGTAAGTTTAATGTGTTCCTCGCCACCGGCTGCTCCTGTGTGGCCCTGTTGCTCAGGGAGACTACAGACTGCAACAATAGGTCACATGTCTCAGCATTGTGAGCCCTTTTCCAAGTCCATCAGGATGTGCACGGTCCTTTACATCATACACATTTCTCACAGTCAACCAACAGAGCCATAGAATAATTAAGTAATAAAAGTGTTGCTGAAAAAGGAACTGAAAGAGTTTGTGGTGAAGCTGCGTGGGGAGAATGGAAGAGGTCCTTGGCACTATTTGAAGTGTTTAAGTGGAGAAACTGTGAATTTAAAAGTCAACGTTTCAACTTTGACTTTATATAAGGAGTTCAGATTTTTATTTGACGGGAAGAGAGCTGAGCTGATGAATACTGTGAAAGCTGTGCATGTTGAGGTACAGCTTACATAACATCATAGTATATACAATGTTTTAAAAACGGGCTTTTCCATTCATGTATCCAGTTATACAGCTAATTAACAGCAACCATTTTTATTTATCAACATCAATTACTTAAGGACAGACTAAGAAGAAAAAGAAAACTCACCAAAACCTGCTGTGTGGCACTTCTGTCTCATAAAGCACCCATGGATTTTTGTTGTTTCTTAATGTATCCATAGTGATAATCTGGACTCTTTACATTTTTTCATACACCAGATACTGCTCCATCTTTTTCTGTTGATGTTTTAATCCAGCTTTAATCCAGACTGGTCAGTGTTCCACATTTTGTAGGTCTATATCCTTGTGATAATGATGCAGCAGACACAAGTTTTTCCTCTAAAGAGATGGGGCCAGTCTGAGATCCTCACTCTGAGTCTGAGTCGAAACTTGCAGGGCTTTTGTTTCCATTCCCATTCCTCTGTCTTTTCATGCAAACCCAATTTAACCAAACAAAGCCTTTTGTGTCCACACGGGGAGGGAATGTCCAGGTCCATGAATCAATAAGCCTTCCATCACAAGTGTTTGAGAAGAAAGTCAACACACTGCTATAGAGAGAACCGTGGAGAGATGAGAGTTCCCAAAATAACTGCAAGTTTGCTGTGGGTAACAGAGCTACAAACCCCACAGACAAGCCCTCAGTGGGTTAATCATTTAAGGAGCTAAAGTTAGCCAGGACCAGGATTAGATTGGTAACTTTTACACAAGGACAGGTCAGATGTTTTAACGTAATGACAGCTATACAGAACTCAAATCCTGTCATGTGCAAACATATTCTAAGGCCAAAAAGAGTCAAAGCAGCAAAGCCATGACACTTGGTTATATTCTTACGGCCTGACAGAGCTCTAGAACTAATGCAGCTTAATTATTGCCAGGCAACCAACAGTGGTTTTGTTTATCACTTCAGTGAGCAAAAGCTATCCAGAGTAATCTTCTGCTGTGTCTAATGAAGGAACCCGTGTCCCAGTGGAAACTGGTCTGCTGGGCAATTCGTTGCACCTGGTCTAATATTAGACCTGCCCTGGAACTGGTAATTCATATGATATATGATGCAAAGACCATTACTGGCCAATGGAACATACTGGCCCTCAGTAATTCACCTTTTTCAGGGCTGACATTTTGGATTGTCTTAGCATAACCACAATACCATGAAATGTGCTCAAGTTCCAATGTCACTACCATGTCCATTAGTATCTGTGTTATTGTGTTGTTTCAGGCAAAAAGACCTGCTGTAGTTTTATATTGTCATCACGGTGATGTCACCAATAGGTCATTAAAGGTAACAAAACAGAGACTGGAAGCCAAAACCAGAAACATTTCCAATACAGCCTGATAGATGGTGGAAATGAAAATAAAATGTGGGCTACTGAACAGATTCACAGGAACACAGTTATCAGTTTTAGTTTAATTGACAGGGACTGTGCATTTTCATCTGTAGTTGTTTGTCTCTGTCAGCCTTGTGATATAGTGGCGATCTGTTCAGAGTGTACCTCGCCTCTTGCCCAGTGTCAGCTGGGATTGGTATGGATAATGGCTGGATGGACATTTTGACTTCATGGTAGGAACACTAATGGTGTAATCAACAATCACAATGGCTGCATTCCATTTATGTGAACCTCCTCCAGGATCGTGGTATTGCGCATGCTTGCTGAGTGGCATTGTTTAGTGGGTCAATTAATGGAACTCAGCCACCGTTGATGTCGTTAGCTACACCTGTGCTTCTTCTACTGTGACACGTCAAGATGTCGGCTGTGGAAAAGGTCTAATCTTTGGTGCAAACAAATCACGGCTCTTCTGTGCAACGCATATTTCAGTGAGCCCACAGGTGTAACCAGGCTCTTTGTTACCTAAGAACAGAAAATAAGCTGAGTTGAGGAGAGACATTGAATTTGGACAGTGCATAAATAGCGACAAAGAAATGCAGGGTAACACTATTTGCTCATCTTTCACGATATATTCCATGTATGTTCAGTAGGCAGGTCTGTTTTGCTTTTGGTCTGAATGCTTTTCACGCTATTCAGACAATTTTGTGCAAAAAGCGTTGAACTTGTAAGAAGCGGCCTCACTAGCGGGGATGCTCCTTTAACTGGCCCCAGTGTGTGTGTTATTACCCGACACGGCCACTAGATGGAGCCACCGCAAAATATATGATCAGTGTTCAAACATGCAGAAGCACTGCAAACTACACTTATTTGATTTGTGGCGACCCTTTTATTGTCTTATGAAAGCGATCATTTGAAGTCATTGTTATTATATTTTGATGATAATCGATACTATTCACTTAATTAAAAACGTGTACCAAGAATAAGCCAATTGTTCTCCTTTCAGTGCTGCAATTTGTTTCTGACTGTCTCACAGGACGGCAGCAGCTCTGCTGAGAGTAATTACACACCCGTGACCCGCCCTCGCTTCCCCTCGTTCTCGCCAAAGACTATTTCCTCGCAGTCCTCAGTTTTGCCCTGTCTGCTCCACTGATGGGGCAGTGACAATGACAGAGCACGACAGACCTGTGTAGGCTTTTTTTTATTTTTTTATTAAATTTCATTCCTCAGCTTCACTTTAGTTGTCTTCGTCTTCTCTTTTAAACCATGTTGCGGGTTGTAGTGGAATCGGCCAAAAATATACCTGCAAAGAAAGTTGGAAAGCCTGACCCAATCACCTCCGTCGTTTTTAAAGGTAAAGGTGTCGTCTCATAACTTTTAACTGTGTATCAAGTGGCCTGTGGGACAGTCTTATTGTCTGTAAGGTTTATTAATGTAAAATAATGTAGCTTACATTTTGTCTTTGGAACTAAATTGTAAGTTTATAGCCAACTGAATATAATTTATCTAGTATGACGTCACTTTGGACCTAAAAGATTTTGCTGTGCATAGATTATCAAATATGGTAGTCTGTGCAGTGAATAAACAGTACATCAGTGTTGTTCTTAGCTGTGTGCATTAACTGGAGACCAAGTGGTCCACTGAGAATTTAAAGTCCTGACTATAAGTGTGCGTGCACTCCTAAGCTGGTATGTTTTAAAACTTGTATTGTATCACTGAAGATATTCCAACATGTTGTGACATTGCCAGATGCAAATACATCTGAGTAGGGACATTGCTTAGGGTTGGAGGACCCTGTAGGTATGTATGAAATCAGTATGGAAAAGCGTGTTGTAAAGAAAAAAAAAACTAGACTATGTGTTAGGAAACTGGCCTTCAGCTACTGAGTTAAATTATGTTACATTGTGGGCACGGAATGGTATTTCCTCCTCTTAAAAGTTCTTATCCTGGCAATCTGCCTTAGTTACTCCCAGTTGTGTTGCAGCTTTTCCCTTGGTCCCCTTAAAAGTAGAATCTTCTGCACTGTGATAGGATTGGTATGTGCTAAGCTTGAGAAATCATGTACGGTACCATATTTTCAGTGTCAGGAATAAGCTGATGATCAAAAGGCAAAGAGAATGCAAATATTTTTCAATAAAAATTTACAAAAAGTTATTTCACTTTCAGATGAGAAGAAGAAAACAAAGGAGATTAGCAGTGAGCTGAATCCTGTATGGAATGAGGTAAATATCCGTTACATGCACACAAATGGGTGTGAGTTGTACTGACTTGAGTTAGCATATCACTAATGTAATATTGATCAAATTATATTCAATTAAAGGCTCCAGTCTCAGATAAAACATTGCTCAGGACATTCACGTAGCATCAATTGAAGTACCATACCTAATGGGCCGTGTGCCATGTCTTGCAGGTCCTTGAGTTTGACCTGAAGGGTACTCCGCTGGACTCTAGCTCCTCCATTGATGTGATTGTGAAAGACCATGAAACCATTGGGAAAGACAAGTAAGTGAACTCCTCCCACCCCCCAAGACAGAGCTCCCTGTTAGCTGTGTCTTTATGCTTTGTGTAACAAAAGGATGAAGAGAATAGCCTCAGCTTACTGAATAATAATGCAAACAGCTTCATGTTTGAACGAAGACTTTCTGGGAAGTGAGTCTGTTTAGCCAGCCAGCGGGTTAGCCAACAATATATAGCATGAGGTGTGTGAACGGTACAAATGAATTCAGCCACAGCACAGGCAGTGCAACAGTCATTAAGTCTGTCTCAGTCTGAAGAACTCTGAAGTGCCTTGGCTGCTAAATAATCCTTTGCACATGACACAGACCTCCACCCACTGCTTAGGATATGCATTGTTATAAAAAGTAGTAAAATACAAGGAAGCTAAGTAATATATTTTCCTAGTAACTCAGTGTTTGAGTTGTGTAGCGGCCTGTCTCTACCCACTCATACCCTTCTTGCCATGCTGAGACTTGCTGGGCTCTGTGGGATGATTGATGCTGATTGGGCAACAAAAAATGGATGAATCGCGGTTTGTCTTCTCTCTTGGTGGGATTTGTGTGGCCCTGTGTAGAACAGGGGAAATGCTCCAATCACTTCCAACCCAGATGACAGTAGACCAAGTGCTATAGGTCCAGTGTGTATGAACTGTTTTCTTACTCTGTGAGGAGAAGTACTGTGCTGCAAGATGTTTCTAAGTCACTCCAAAACAGCTCGAGGCTGTCACTTCCAAGTAAAGCCAGAGTCACACATGGAACCAATCTAAACCAGCCACAAAGAACGCTTTTCTAGACATTATATTTACTGCGATTGAATCTTGTGATTAAATCATTTTTATTCTTAAACTATTTTTGTTCTGCTCATGTATTTTTCCAAGAAGAAGTTGTCTCTGCATTTACTCAGTCGTAACTAATTGAAGAGCTTTTCAGATGTGTGTTTCCAGCTTATGACTCCCTGTTAAATTGAGTAATGTTTTCCACTGCACGGGAACCGAGTAGGACTTCTCCCCTCTTTCTCAAACAGTTTTCCAGCTGCAGTTGAGGGATGTCCCTGCTGTCATGGCAACTAAAGGACAAATAAAAAAAAAATCAGTGACTTCTTAACTAATAAGACTTTAGAAAGGAATCTGCAGATTGCATGATAAACTAAATAGCGGCAGAGTTATGATAATAAGAGAGCCAAACCCATACCGTTGCTAAGTTTGTGTCATTTCCTTAAACCTGTTTGCTGCACATGAAGTAACACATGACTGAGGCTTGATTTTCCACCTGATTTTACTTCAGTCATTTTGCAGCATGGTTTCATTTCCTGTCTCGTCTGACCAAATATTACACCTACTGTATTTCACCTGCCTTGTTAGTAAAAAGTACTTGTGGATTTTGTAGCCTTGCCTTGCATAGAGAAAACAGACTTGATAAATTTGGTTTTCACACCATAGTCACGGATTCTACCAGATCTGTGCTGACGGGGGTGGGTGTTAACCTTTTGAACTAGGACATTCACTGCTGCCTGTGTTGAATGTAACCCCCTTCATAGTTAATTATGATTTCTGGGCTGAGATAAGTGAGAACTTCATATAATGTGGAAACAGTTAAACTTGTTTTTGTACAGCTACACAAATAGCACCACTGTCTGTTGTTCCACAAGCTATGCAACGTTTTAACATCCTGAAAAAAGGGAACAGCTGTATCCACATCCGTTAATAACTGGGCACAAATGATTTCACCCTCTATGTGGATGGGTGGAATATTTGAGTGAGGGCTACTTCTTTGCCTGTGATACACCAGGGCTTGACAAAGGTCACGAAGTCTGTTTTGGTCATGCCATTGTGTGTGCATGGAAAACAAAAGGAGGTGTCATTTCCTAGCATGTCTCTCCCAGTCTGTCCACAATATATACTGTACTAGGCTAAGATGCAATTTTACTGTCTAACTTAATCTGTGATATTTAAATGCTCTTATCAGAATGGAGTCAAGCTGACCACAGATGAGCAACAGAGTGGAAATATTTCAGAGCCCAGGGACAACCCTGTGTGTGAATGAGGCGTTTAGTCATCCCACTAAATGCCCTTTAAAGAGTTTGACAGAAGCAGTGGGCAGAATTGTGCAAGTAAAAACTTCCATCCAGTCAAAATCCTGCTCACATTATTTTTGTGGATTCTATTGGAAAACTACACAAACACTGTTGATCACCCCATGAGGCTACATACCAGTTTCATAGAGTCACTTCATCCCCGGAGAAAGCCTGTGTCAGCCTCCTTCCTGAGCGCTGCCAAAAACATCTAAGTTCATTTAGCTGCTATCAGCACAGTAATGGATTTTCTTTTCACTTCAACTTGAAAGCCAGAAGAAAAAGAAGTTATCAGCCAAAGGGGAACATTCTTTGGTCCAGTCAAGGCCCATAATGAGTGTGTGACTCTTGGGGAAATTCCCCGTCAAGAACGCTGCTGAAACATTGTTCAACCAAAGAATGATGCATTTTACATGGTGTACTAGATTCCATGAGCTACACTGCACACAGTACAGTAAACATCATTTCATCTAGTCAAACACGTACTCGGTTGACGGTTTAAGTACACCTAGCTAAAACTAATAGAGTCAAACCCAAAACTAATGGAGTCAAACCCAACTGTCCCATAATACGCCTTTTACAGAGGTGGTAATGATCTTTTTCAAACTGTTTCAGAGAGGTGCTGATTCAAATATATGATCATTTTGGAGGCTGTAGTTTGTGTGGCTGTATTGAGAGGTGTTTTGTTATTTACCCTAGCCTCAGTGATATTAATGGGTTGGCCAAAATGATAGAAACTGTCAGTAATGCGATGCAGTTCAATAGCAACACAAACTGCTTCTTCCAAAATGACCATATACTGTATGCACATGTATCCAACAGCTCTCTGAAACACTTTGGACAAAATCAGTCCACTTACACTCCCTAGAATTAAAAGCTGCAAAGAAAGGAAACCATAATAATATTAGTCAAATCTCAGAGACAGACACAAAGCTTCCTGTATTTAGGGTTAATGTAATTTAGTCCTTGAGTTGCCAAAGAGCGAGTTAACAGAGGAATGTGTTTGCTGCACAGTTAATCCTGCCAGCTTTAGTTAGAACTTACCTGTAACCTAGTCCCATCCTTTGTGATAGTTTAAGATTTTTTTGTTTAATCATTAACTTGTTAGATTGCTTAATTTCTCTGGAAATTGAAATCCCCACAGAAAATATGACTTTCAGTTAAATCAAATGACTTTATGAAAAAACTATTACTTATCCAGAGTATGGTACAGACAGGGATGTTTTCTGTATCAGGAGCTTCAGTGATTGTTGGAAAATTGTAGGGTTTTTTTTTTCCGTAAGAGATTGTAATGTACAGTAGATTTACCAGGTGACTGTGTGACTCGAACTTTTCATGTTTACCCAATCGTTCCTTGACTTGGAAATGAACTGTCATCCTGGTTTTCATAGCTGGTATTCAAATGGCAAAAGTTTGTTCATTTCACATCTCGGTGCAGAGACACACTAAACACACTGCAAAATCACTGGTTGGTAGCTTGTGTGCCTGCTTTAGGGCGGTGTTTGTTTGTCTGAGCAGGCAGGGTTTGTTAGCTCTGGGTGGCGACCTTCTATAAGCTGCGTTTGTGAATGTGACCTCTGAGTACACAGACAGCACTTGATTTCTGTTAATGTTAATATGTCGGCTGCAAGATAGCCTGAGTTTCCCCTGTTAAATCAGAAAATCACTGTAGATTTGTCACCAAGCAGGTTCTTGCTACTTATTATTGTGATTCCCAGCCACTTCCAGATTCATACTCTTAAATCAACACCTTACAGCTGCCTCATCTGCCCCAGCTTTGCTACGCCATTGATTATACTGATTGAATGCACCTCTTGCTCATTGTGCAGCCCATGAGTACCACCTCTCGCTCCTCAGTTCTTTGTCAGTTTTGTCATCCTCACACCTTTGGTCATCTCCTCTGCCTTTGCCATGAAGTATCAGGCTACCTATTTCTGTCCGAACCCGACCCGAATACTAGGATAGGCCGATTGATGGGTTCCATCGGATTAGGTTCAGGTATCTACCCTGTACTTTGTCGTCAGTGCTGTCATGCAGCTTGTTGCTGGCTCTCCCTTCACTAGTTTTGCCTTCCATGTAGTCACTTTGCCTTTGTTCTTCTCCCCCACCTATGGCTTCTGTTTCTTCCTCGCGGCCCTCGGTCTAAAGGAGACTCACAAGTGTGGTATGCTCTGAATTTTGGGCTCCTTGCTGTTATCTTTGAAGCAGAGACTTTGCTTATCTGGGCTTGAACTCTTAACAGTGAAAGCCCTGGCTCACCCGAGTTCATGCTCAACTAGTAACAGAAGATGATTATATTTCTTACACAGGTTCATGTTTCACTTGTCAAAAGGGGATTTTCTTACCTTTTAATTTGTTAAAAGAGGGAGATTATATTGCTTGCCTGAGTTCTTGTTTAGTCAAAGATTATGTTGCTTCTGAGTTCATGTGTTCATGTGAAAAATAAGTGTCACTTAACTAAGTCTCATCTATTGCCTTGCTTTTGAATAGACGTTCTGCTACTTGCCTCAGTTCTTGGCCTGTCAGACGTTTATTTCTTTCTTGTGTGCATATGATACACTACTGCCTGTGAAGACACAAAATCCTTATGGTCTATTCCCTGTCTGGATTTAGAATCATTATGTACTCGGGGAAGTTGTTACTTCACTAGCTTGTGGTTTGGTTTTGTGAATAAACCCAGAAGATTTGACCTGTTGCTTTGTTACTTTTATTTTGCCAGGGTAAGTCCCACTGAGGTGTAAAACCACCATCTCTTGGTAGGCCTGGTAAAACAGCAGCACACAAGTTTACGAAGTAGCATTCAGAGATCCAGTACAGTATTACCACAGTTCACCAAATAATACAACGATAAAACAAGATAACTGTTATCCAAAGCTTAAATTCCCCCAAGATTAAATTATATTAGTTCAATATAAAGGTAAAATCATGACCATGTTGAGTCAAACACATTAGCTTTAGATGCTAATGCATCCAGAACGGAGAACGCCGCATCTGAATCAAAGTGAAGTCCTTGGCTGCTTTTAACGCTCTCCATGTCAAAAAGCCAAACTGATGTTCACCCTGGTTTTACTCTTTGCCTGGCTGTTTGAAATAACTACTCGTGGTTTGAAAAATTTGTGTTGTAACCTTCACTAGGTTGCAGTACAGGCTAATGTTTGAAACAATTCTTGATGACAGAGGGCAGAGAAGCTAGAATAATGACGACAAAGAGACTATAGGCATCCTAATGTCATGGAGGGGCCTGAATAGCAGAGAGGAACCATGTGCAAAATCTTGGTTAATCTACCTTTAATGTTACTTGCTGTGTTTCTCCTACCAGGTTCATTGGCTCAACCAAAATTGCTTTGAGGGACCTTGCCTCAGGTCAGGTTAAATCACTACCATCCAAAAATGTGTCCTTGGTCAACGAAAGTGGACAGAGTATTGGAGTAAGTTTCCTCCTGCCAGTATGAAAGTACAGCATCACCATCTTCCTGCTGCTTAGTTACTTTCAGTGACCTCAAATAAAATTACAGACCAGAAAATAATTTCTTTCCAGGCTACGATCAACCTTGTGGTCGCCTATGATCCTCCACCCAATGCTGCTCCAAACCCCAATGACCCTCAAGCTGGAGATGCAACAGTGGATGGTGGTATGTTTATGTAATTTTTTAATAAATGACCATAAAATGCACTGACAGTCCATTCAGTTACTGTAGTTAACTCAGATTAGTTAATGTCAATTTGTCCTGTTGTCAAAGTCAGATCTAAAGTAGGTTTACCCTCAGCTATGCATTTTGGGGTGATGTTGATTTTTACCAGCATTTGCTGTTCTACATTTGTTCATTGGTCACCTGGTTTTTCTGCTGACTAGGCGGTGGTGGTGAGGAGGGTGGTGAGACTCTACCAGATGGGACCTCTGCAGTGTCTCCTGGACAGTCCGCTAACACCCGCCAGAAGATGTTCAGGGCACAAAATCGCCGCCAACTGACCAATAAACCTCAAGACTTCCAGGTCAGTATGACTGTCTGTGCTCAAGTGTGATATGAACATATGTACACTCATAGCTTTTTTTTTTTTTCTGAAAATTATTCTGAAGGCAAATGAAAAATGGTGCACCATGTGCAGGCTGTGTAGTTGGAGAACAAATTCATTTCAGGTCATGTTTGCCCACGTTACATATCTGTAGTGTGTTTAAACATGCTGGTCAGAGTCAGATGCTCTCAAACACTCATGAATGATAGACGTTCATCTACACTGATGCATTGTGTCTTTCAGATCCGTGTCCGCGTCATCAAGGCTCGGCAGTTGTCTGGTAATAACATTAAACCAGTGGTGAAGGTCAGTGTGTGTGGACAGACCCATAGGACAAGGATCAAGGGAGGAAATAACCCCTTCTTTGATGAGGTAATCTCATTTCACTTTCACCTTCAAGCTGCGTATATGACACAGATTGAAAATAAAAAAAGTTCTTTTTGATTCAGTCAAACTTGCACTTAGGTTTGATCAGACTTTAGGGCTGTTAGATTAACTAATGTTAGATTATGCTGAGATATTAATTTTAAACTCATTACTTTTATCTTCATTTCAACTTTACATTAACTTTTTTTCATATTTTTGCAGTTGATGTTTTACAATGTCCACATGCTACCATCAGAACTGTTTGATGAGAACATTAGCTTCCGGGTAAGCACAGAGTGGCGTCATGTGCCTGTCCTCTGTCATTGTGTATAAAGGTTTAAGTAGATAGATATAAAATAACTATACGAGTTGTGAATTGCTTCACTCTTCTCTGCAGGTATATGATTCCTATTCACTGAGGTCAGACTCTCTGATGGGGGAATTCAAGGTACCTGGTCTCATTTCCTCTTCCTTCACATAATTAATATTTAAAGAAAATGCGGTGAATGTGCATTGTTCCCATGAATCTGGCTGACCCCATTTTCTTCTTTTACACAGCTGGATGTTGGTTATATATATGATGAACCAGGTAAACTTGTCAAAAACCACAAACTAGATTTTTGCATAATTTGCATTTGTTCGACTTGGTCAAGCTTAGATACTGTGCTCATGAGCACATTTTACCTGTACATGGTGGTGTTTGTATTAATGAAGTCTGGCTTCTGGCCCTAATTTGGTATATTTATGTTTCCTATTGCAGCCCACACTGTCATGAGGAAGTGGCTTCTGTTGAATGACCCAGACGACTCCAGCTCTGGAGCTAAGGGCTACCTTAAAGTTAGCCTGTTTGTAGTGGGGGCTGGAGATGAGCCTCCGGTATGACTGACTGTAGCTGCTTCCTCTTCCCACATGTAAATAAGGTGGCTGTGCACCTCACACCCTGTGCTGTCTCGTGTAGGTGGAGAACAGGGACCCAGTTGATGACCAGGATGACATAGAGAGTAACCTACTGCTGCCGGCTGGTGTGGCCCTGCGACGGGCTACCCTGTCATTGAATGTGTTCAGAGCTGAAGATATTCCCCAGAGTAAGACGAGCCATATTTCAGTAATTGTATGATATTTGTAACAAATCAAGTCATTTACAGCACACTGTACATAAAGAATACTGGTTCACACAAAAATTTAGTTGAACCAGGAAACTTCCCCATTTATTACTGTTGAATCTGGTAAATTTATATAACATTGCCATCCAGGTAAATCAGTTAACTCCTCCAATGTTTTCTGATTTCAGTGGATGATGCATTTGTGCAGAACTTGAAGGAAATGTTTGGAGGAGAAGAAGACAAGAAGAATCTGGTGGATCCTTTCATAGAGGCTTGCTTTGCAGGCAAAAAGGTTCCTTCTGATCATTTGCATCATTTTACCCACAGTGTTAAATGAAAGCAAGCTGGATATTGTCTAACAGAAAAGCTGATGTGTGGTTGTTCTGTGTCTCCAGCTCTGTACTCAGATAATTGAGAAAAATGCAAATCCTGAATGGAACCAAGTACTGAACCTTCAGGTCAAGGTAACACTTCCTAGGGATGAAAAGCTGCATTCCAATGACGCACTTAAAAGTAATATCAATATTTATTTTTATTACTCTAAAGTCTTAACCCTATTTAACCTGTTTTTTGTATTTGCTGTAGTTCCCATCCATGTGCGAGTCTGTCAAGCTGACAGTCTTTGACTGGTACGTCAGCCAAGTTTGAAATTTCTATTTTAAGAGATTTTTGCTACTTCCAATTTGTGTTCAAGAAGTAAGGAATGTGAAGAGGCAGTGCTATTTTGTTCTCAGAGTTGTTGGGGATTCAGAGTGCACCACAATATTTATTCAGTGTGTTAGCTGTATTGTACGTGTGTGTGTGTGTGTGTGTGTGTGTGTGTCTCCGCCCCATCACCAACCACATGAGAATAACGTAGCAGTCTATGAGTCAGCCTGTGCAGGCTCCTCCCTTCCCCAAAAGCAACATGCTCTGGGACCCTGTTGACACTCTCTCAGCTAGTTTTCATCGTCCAGGAAGGCTGAAGGGAAATAAGTGCCAGAGGAAAGGTTAGAAAAATGGCATCCCCCTCAGAAGGTGTTGGAAACACTCTCGGATACTAGACCCAATCATTTCCCTGATGAAAACAAACCTTTAAGCATAACAAACATATTTCCTTCATGGAGGTAGTGAAAAAGCAAAGCATAGCAATGTATGTGTTGTAAAATTTGCATGTTTTAAAGGTTAATAACATGAATGCTATGGTGTGTGTGTGTGTGTGTGTGAGCAGTGCAGAGAGTAAAGTTACTGTATGTGATTGCAGGGATCGTTTGTCAGGGAATGATGCTATTGGCACCACATACCTGAACCTGTCCAGGATAGCCTCCTCTGGTGGAGAGATAGAAGGTATTTTTGTTTTGTTTTGTTTTAGGACAACATTTTAATACAAAATATGGTACATTTTATAGCTTGGAATAAAATGCCTAATGAGTCTGGATCTTTTTTAAAACCACGGTACAAAAGTGAATAGCATGTGGCTGTTTTGTTTAACTTAACAATTTTAAAAGGTTTTTGAATTGTCCTTTTTTTTCCTGGAATAGAGGAACATGCAGGAAAATGGGAAAGGTCACCGCATGAAGGTTTACCCGAGCTCTTTTTTTTTGCTCTGTTGCATGAGCTGTGATGTGTTGAGCATGTTGTGCACGCCAATTAGCTGAATAGGTTTAGTCCTGTGTGTGTACATGGCAAATAGAGCTGTTCTATTTTTTTGACATTAGTATTTAAATATTTAACCATTTTGTTGCCGTAGTGTCTGCCACTTGCTTTCCCAGCATTCACTACAGTAGTTCCGCCTCAGTCTGTCCATCACCGCTGCCTCACATCCTGCACCACTGATGTACTAACATTAGAGCTGTGCTTTGCTAGACTAAAGTCCATTCTGAGGCTAAGTTTGTGTTCATCTCTTTCCAGCCAACACGGGTGAGTCAGAGGTGGGTTTCCTGCCTGTGTTTGGACCCTGCTATATCAACCTTTATGGCAGCCCCAGAGAGTTCACCGGTCTGCCAGACCCCTATGATGATCTCAATTATGGCAAGGTAGTGTTGTAGACAGGATTAGACTTTTATATTTTTGTCTTTCTGCATGTCACTTAAAAATTTTAACTGCCTTTCTATCCCCGTCTTTCACTCCCTTTGTTTGGTCAGTATTTCATATCAATGTGTTGTAACTGCGCAGGGTGAGGGTGTGGCATACAGGGGCAGAATCCTGGTCTCGCTGTCCACTAAGCTGGATGAGAAAACGGACAAAGCAGTAGACAGTATCCACTCGGATGACATCCTGGTGGCACAGGTATTGTCACGGTTTATCCACTAAGTCATAACTTGACAAGTGTGTTTTGGGTTGACAGCAGTGTGGTTTCACTTCTTCAAGACTGAGGATGTGAGCAGAGTTAGGGAAGTGTTGTTCTGGTAATGGATAAAAATGGATTCTAGGCATTGGAAGTCTTCATGAGTAGATTTCACCCAGAAACTTTTTTCATGGTTTTAGAAAGTCTTGACTTTCTCTTCACTTTCTGTACATCAGAAGTACCAGAGGAGGAGGAAGTACAGCCTGTGTGCAGTCTTCCACAGTGCCACCATGATTCAGGAACCTGGAGAACCAATCCAGTTTGAGGTCAGCATCGGTAACTATGGCAACAAATTGGACACTACCTGCAAACCACTGGCCTCCACCACTCAGTATAGCTGTTGTATGTTTGATGGTGAGTGGGAAGCTAGTACACTTTGTTCACACACACACTAAAGACGTGTATAAAAATCAGCTTTCTTAAATGCTGTGACTTTTCCAGGTAATCATTACTATTACCTGCCCTGGGCAAACACTAAGCCAGTGGTTGTGGTTAATTCATTCTGGGAGGACATCAGCCACCGCCTGGACACGGTCAACATCATCCTCTACATTACTCAGCACCTGGTAGTACTGCACTAACCTCTGTAATCATCAAAAACTTGATTTGAGTCATTCCCTGTAGGTTTGACGACATTACTGTGTTTACATACTAATATTTAATGTGCATGTGCCGGCGTGAGATGCTTAGAGGCTTAAGATGGGAGCCTAATCCTCACCCTTATTTTTTTTTTTTTTTTTTTTTTGCAGCAAACAAACCTGGAGGCATTTAAAACGGCTATCTTAGCTAAGGTTCCTGACAACCAACTTACAGAGGTGTGGCTGAAGTTGCTGAGTCAGCTGATTGAAGACATAGAAAGGTAAACAGTATATGGTTTTGCTCAGAGTGCAGGATCATAGCTGTTACCTGTTGTGTGATTTAAAAAAAAATCAGTCAGTGAAAAGGCTGGATGTGTTTAATTTCACCAAATAAATGAAGAATGGCCAGAAGTTGCACCCCATAACAGTTTAGTAATGGAACTGTTATTTGATATAATCTCATTTTTTTATGTTGTTTTGACTCAGTTGAGTTTAATGCCAGCCTGTCCACACTCTCCCCCAGTTTCCCAACACCTGAGCTGGAGGGCAACCCCAATCTGACATCACTGGACATTCAGATCAAAAAGCTGCGAGACAGTTCTTTGAAAACCATCAAGGAAGGAGCGAGACGCATGAGAGAGGAGGCCGGAGAGATCAGAGACTGTGTGTCGGACATAGAGGCCTGGGCAGACAAACTTAAAATGTTGGCTGAGGAGGTACAAACACAGCAAGCCAAAGTGTTCACTTGAGTGTGTGTGTGTGTGTGTGTGTGTGTGTGTTGTTGTTGTTGTTTTTCTTTTCAGTGGCCTATATTTTGCAGGTGAAGGGAGAGCTGCCTCTTAACAAATATGGCTCTGGGGTGACCATTTGCTGATGCATATGTCCTGCAGTCAGCCAGAAAAGTCTCACATTGGCAAAGAAATGTTGATGTACAGTATTTGAAATTACACTGTGGTCCAAAGCGTGCCTACAGTAACCATTCAAAACAAGATGACATGCTAGCACTTGATTGGCCCAGACAGGATGTTTATCGCCAGCCCATTGCCTGTCTATCCGTAATGTTGGATGATTTTTCCACATGTTCTTATTCTCACTGTGTTCAGCCCCAGAACAGCATGCCTGATGTGATCATCTGGATGCTGCGAGGTGAGAAGAGGGTGGCCTGCGCTCGCATACCTGCTCACCAAATCCTGTTCTCTACACACAGTGAGCAGGCCAGTGGTCAGCACTGTGGCAAAATGCAGACTGTCTTTTTACAGGTACCTGTGCAGTCCTTCTGAACAGCTGTCATTTAGACTCTGAAGGCAGAAGCTTCTCTAAAATCATAATGCTCATGACTTTTTTTTTCAACCCCACCCCCCACCCTCAATTTCTTGCAGTACCCTATGGATAAGACCAAGGGCATGAAAGTGCCAGTTCAGATTAGAGTCAACATGTGGCTGGGTCTGTCTGCGCACGAGAAAAAGTTCAACTCCTTCTCTGAGGGAACCTTCAGTGTGTTCGCTGAACTGGTAGACCACTCCGAAATATACAACTCCATTTCCACAAAAATACTTGGGAGGCTATGTAATTTGTAAAAAGAAGATAAAGGAATTAAATGCTTTGAAAACCAGGTTTTCTAAAAACCACTTTACCCAGTATTCATTTGGTATCAGTACAAAGATATCTAATGTTCCAATGAACATATATTTTGGTTTATATAAGCTTATTCAGAGTTTGAAGCCAATTACAAAAAGGTGGGACAAGGGCAACAAAGACTGGAAAAGCATCCCAGAGAGACTGACTCTGTCAGAAGTAAGGATGGAGTGAGGCTCCCCTCTGTTGGCAAAGAGTTCAACCATTTGTGATTGTTTCTCAACATAAAATTGCAAAGATTTTTCATGATCTAGAGTACATAACGTAATTAAAAGATTCAGAGAATCTGGAAAAATCTTTGTAAGCAAGGGAGAAGGCCATAAGCTAACACTGAATGGCTGTGATCGTGGGGCCCTTAGGTGACACTGCGTTAAAACATATGATTCTGTTTCTGTAGTGGAAATCACTGCTTGGGCTGAGGAACGCCTCTGAAAACCCCTGTCAGTGAACACAGTGTGTTGTTGCACCCATAAAAGCAAGTTACAACTCTGCCATGTAAAGAAACAAAAGCATATAAACAAGATCCAGATACGCCGCCACCTTCTCTGGGCTCAAATGCATTTAAGATGGACTGAGAGGAAGTGGCAAACTGTCCTGGGGTCTGACAAGGCAACATTTGAAGTGCTGTTAGGAAATCATGGACGCTGCGTTCTGCAAGCTAAATAGAAGGACCATCTGTTATATCGGTGTATAGTTCAAAAGCCACCATCCATGTTGGCAGCACTGGTGAAGTGAACGAGTTTTGGAGCAAGATGTGATGTCATCCAGACTGTGTTTTTTTTGTTGGTCTGCTCAGTTCCCAAACACTTAATACTTAGTGGTGTTAAAAGAAGAGGTGATGCAATGCCATGGTAAATGTGCCCCTGTCCCAACTTTTTAAAAATTCTCCTGGCATCAAATTTAAAGTGAACATATTTCTAAAAATAACATTTTTGTTTCAACATTAGATAATTTGGCTACTGTTTTCAGTTAAAGGTTTGAAATAACTTGCAGATTATTGCTTTCAGTTTTTATTTGCATTGTACACAGCACTACAACTTTTTTCTAAAGAAATTATTTGTAAGTATCATAACAGAGCATGAATATATTTTTGTCCTTCAGGACTAAACATGTCCTCCTTTACATTCCAGTATGAGAACCAGGCCAAACTTTTTGGGAAGTGGGGGACCACAGGACTGGTGGGTCGCCACAAATTCTCAGATGTAACAGGCAAACTGAAGCTGAAACAAGAGTACTTCATCCCACCCAGGGGATGGGAGTGGGAAGGTGACTGGTTCATTGACCCAGAGAAAGCGTGAGTATAACTGGAGATGAACGTTTGGAATCTCTCCTCTAAAATGCAAAATATTTGGCCAAGAGGAAGACCTTGTGATTTGATATATTAGGATTCAGACCACTTTGTCTTAATGGAAGCATCACTGGTGGTTACCTTGGTTGAATGTCTGTTTTTCAAACTGAACACATTTCTGTACTGTGTGAACTTGAGCTACATCTGCTCTCTGTTTACATTTCTCTCATGCCATGGACCACAAATTAATGGCCAAATACCAGACTGTTTCCAGTAAGCTGGAAGTTTACTTCTGTCGACTCGAGCGTGACCTCTCTCTGCACTGCAGCCCTAACTCCAAATTTGCATGTTTGTTTTCTATGCCAACATCATCTGCACATGTCTGGGAGAAGTACCTCTGACAGTAACTACAATATACAGGATGTGCTAAGTTCAGAGGAAAGCTGAATAAATGAGAGGGTAAATGTAATAAAAACAAATGCTCCTAAGCAAGGCATAGGGGGATAAAATTCCTTGGAATTCCTGTAACCTGTCACCTATCTGTATGAAATAACCATTACAGTATATGAATATGGCAGCTTGATTTGAGTAATAAATTAAACTAGGGCACTGCCTATGTCAGGGTTACTCCCAGCATATAAACACAGTCCCTGTTAAAACATACCGGCCCTTCCCTCTTACTCACACTTCATTAAAGTCGTCTTATAAAAACTGTGCCCAGATGTCTGCTCCTAGTGGCTTTAAGTAGCTTTTGTTTAATAATGTTTCATGTTTTCATAATACACATGTTTGACTGTTTCAGTCTGCTAACAGAAGCAGATGCAGGACACACTGAATTCATGGATGAGGTGTACCAAAATGAGACTCGCTTCCCTGGTGGGGAGTGGAAGGCTGCCTCTGAGCCATACACCGATGTGGTGAGAACTACACACTCGTATTCAGATAATGATGGTGCTTTACATATTACGCACTACACACAAAGGTAATCTTGTTCTGTGACACACAAATACATGTATTAATACTACAGACCAACACAGCATTACTCATTGCTTCCATCATTATTCCTCCCACTTGTTCACTCCTCGCAGTGCTTCCAATAAAATAGTCACCTGTGATTTATCCTAATATCTGAGTGAGGAAAACATGAATAAAAAATGTAATGTATGCAGCTAACAGGGGGTTTGTGTTGTACAGAATGGGGAGAAAAGCCGTAACCCTGGAGAGTTTGACTGTCCTCCAGGTTGGACCTATGAGGACGAGTGGACTGTGGATGCCAACAGAGCTGTGGATGAGCAAGGTGCAGGCATTGACCTAACATCGTAATTCTTAAAAGTAGTTTGTTTGTTTTTTCCTTCAAGCTCTGTTTACCTCAAAGCATATGTAGTTTATTCAAGAGGATGACATGTCACTGACATGTCTAAACTGTAATGAATGGTTCATATTTACAGTCCATACTGGGCTCTGAATGACTCTAGCTTCCTTTCTAGTCAAAGGATACATTTAATTATGATGCACAGTGGAATTTAAACCATGTGTTGGTGTATCCAACTTTTTGAAACAAAGGAAATTAATTCTGTGATTATTTGTGTGCATGTACAGGCTGGGAGTATGGACTGACCATTCCTCCGGATGACAAACCTCATTCCTGGGTTTCTACAGAGAAGATGTACCATGTACACCGGAGGAGAAGGCTGGTTCGACCGCGCAGGAGAGCTGCACTTCCTGTAGGAACACCTGTGGAGGTCAGCATAAACACAGTTGTATTGAGAAAGAATGGCATCCAGGTGTCTCTGCCGCAGTTTTGACAGTTTCTAATCGTGTTTCACTCGGATTTTCACGTTTAAAAATAGAAAGTTTGAGGTACAGGTTTATCTTCACACGCAGAGGCGGGATAGAGGTGACCCTGAGGGATGGGAATTCTCTTCACTGATTGGCTGGAAGTTCCACAGGAACGAGCGCTCATCGGATACATTTCGTCGAAGGCGCTGGAGGCGGAAGATGGCGCCAGAGAACCGCCTTGGATCTTGTGCCATTTTTGAATTGGAGGGGGCGCTAGTGAGTACAGAAAGTGTTGGTTTTTTTCCTGATGTTGTACCACTTGTTTAGAGCTAGTTTTCACAAAGATAGGAACTGACTCATCTTGGTAAATAGACAGACTTTAGAGAGACATAATGTTTAAGTTCAGCAATGCCATAGAAACATGAACCGGATTTGAGCTTACTAAGTCACCAAATATTTACTTATGTGTCAGACGTATCCACAGTGTTTCTGTTTTGCCAGTGTATGATGTGTGAACATGTAGAAGCTCTGAGATGTCTACTTGGTTACTCTGCAGGGTCTCGATACTGATGATAAAGAGAAAGACCCAAAAGCTGGCATCACCAAGTTGTTCGGTGCCAACACACCCACTGTGTCATGCTCCTTTGACAGTAGGTTATGCAGACACCAGTGGTTGTAAATTAACATGCATACATATAATGGCAATGTAATTTTGTTCTATTTTTTGTTGTTGTCTTCTTGTCTCTGTAGAGTCATTTATGTACCACCTCCGTGTCTACGTTTATCAGGCACGGAGCTTGAGAGCTATGGACAAAGAAAATTTTTCTGGTAAGATTCTAGTTGGTGGTCAAAAATATAATGACATTTCATTGCCAATATTAAGGCTGCTAAAGGATTTCAAGAGTTGACATTAAAATCAACTGAGGATCACTGCAAGAATAGTTCATGACTCTATACAAAAGAAATAACCATTAAGCTATCTCGTGTTTGTCTTCACAGATCCGTATGCTCACGTCTCTTTCATGCATGTTAGTAAGACAACAGAGAAGCTGCGAGCAACACTGAACCCAACCTGGGACCAAACTCTGATTTTCAATGATCTGGAGATTTATGGAGACCCCCAGAAGATTGCTCAATGCCCCCCTAATGTTGTGCTGGAATTCTACGACAGTGACCAAGTGGTAAGTTGTGGCAGATATCAGATATACAGTTCACAACCAAACTACAGTATGAATTCAGTGGATTTTACACTCTGCATGATTAGCATACAGAATCTTGGATATTTCAGCTAAAGGTTAACAAGTTTACCTGCGGTGTATTATCCTCTGCCCAGGGGAAGGATGAGCTAATGGGCCGCAGTTTTTTCACCCCAATGGTGAAGTTGAATCCAGGCACCGATGAGACCCCCACACTGTTGTGGTATCCCATCATCCAGAAAGGTCAAAAGGCGGGCGAGGCACTGCTGGCTGCTGAACTCATCCTTAAAGACAAGGTTTGCCCTGAAAGTAAAGGAAAATACAATTCTACATGTTCTAGACCAGAAGTGTTTAATTGTGTGACCTCTCAAAAGAAATACGATGAATAGCCAGTTCAGCTTCTGTTTTTCATTTAATTAGTTAAATACATGCAAAGTTACTGGTAGAAATAAAGAGAAGCATAATCCATACTGTCCTGTCTCTGTCTTTGTAGTCGGGCAGGTCTGATCTTCCCATGGCTCCCCCAAAGAGAGCAGAGAACCTTTACATGGTTCCTCAGGGCATACGGCCTGTGGTGCAGCTCACTGCTGTGGAGGTGATACCTGTCCTTGACACAGTCTCTCAGAACTGATACAGATAATGTCTCTAACATCACTTCTCTGTGTGTGTGGTCTCTGTGTTCAGATTCTAGCATGGGGTCTGAGAAACATGAAGCCGTACGAACTGGCCTCAGTGTCTTCACCCAGTCTGGTGGTGGAGTGTGGGGGGCAGAAGATGGAGTCAGCCGTCATCAAGAACATGAAAAAGAGCCCCAACTTCCCCAGCTCTGTCCTCCTCATGAAAGTGGTAATGGCAGGGTTGCACAAGCTACAGAGGGTGTTAAGTAATATCCAGGATGGAGAAAAATGTACAGTAACTGTTTTTTAAAACAGCAATATCAAACAGAGGAAATCAGAAAAACTAAAAATCTAAGGAATAGCTATGAAGTATATGTGTGTTTAAAAACCCTCTGGTCTGCAAAGAGTGACATCAGGACTGCATGTAAAAAAAGATAAAAATAAAATGAGTTACTCATTACTGTAGGAGAAAGAATACTGGAACATTTGCTCATTTCCACATTACTGTCACAAGACTTTCTGGCATCTTATGCTATTATTCCCTACATTCAGCTCCTTCCAAAGGAAGAGATGTACACCCCTCCCATTGTGCTGAAGGTGATCGACCACCGTCCATTTGGCAGGAAGCCTGTGGTGGGTCAGTGCACCATCACTTCTCTGGAGGAGTTCAAATGTGACCCATATGTTGTCAGTGCTGAGGGAGCAAGGGCCTCTAAAAGTAAGGACAGATACAGGAATATTCAGATGACTGAGTTTTCTGTGAAGGGGGAGGGGAGCAAATCCTTGTTCAAATGTTGTCCTTTCATCATTTGCAGTGGCTCTGATGATGGCTCCTGCTCCCAAACATGTCTCTATTCACATGGAGGAGTCAACACCTCTGCTAGAAGCTAAGGTAATCTCTACCAATGACTAATTCCTCCTGTAGATCATAACTGACAACTTAATATTTCTTCAAAATGTAATAAGTTGCCTCGGTTCACTAAGATGTGCAGAATTTGACTCTCGAGTCAAATTTGACGAATTTATAACTCTGGCTTACAGTTCATGTACAGCATGTCAGCTGCTGTCCACAAAATGGCTCCCCCTACCTCCCACTTTGTATGTATGATTACCTATTGTAGCTTTCCTGTTGATATGGCTTGGTATCATTAACACTGGAAGGCTGAGAGCATTTAATCCACAGCACTGCAACAAGCTTGGCAAATAACTCGTCATAATGTCACAACAGCATTCATTCACGTGGGAATTGCCATGATAAATGCAATTGTCATTAATTTAAGAAGCATATTTAATTATTTTCCACAGCAGGGGCGTAACATGGAAATGGGAATGAAAGGATGAATTCTGTGTCATGGTGTGGTTGGAGGCACCTTTTTCATCATTCTGATTTAAGCACAGTTTCAGCATCCTGGGAAAGGAGGCTTATTAGCTTTCTGACAGTTAAATATCAAGCTACAGCCAGTTGCTGATTGGCTTAGCTTATCATATCTTTATCAAACCATTTTTTTAAATGGAACAAAGATTGAGAACATGTTTTGGCCAAGAATGAAACCCACAGTCTCTCAACTGGCAAACAAGAAATCTCTGATTGTAGAATTAATACTAGGTTGCGAGTGTCAAATGAGAAGTCCTACTCCTCTGATTTTTGTTACCAGTGCCATGCTGCCAGTAAGTGGACAGGTGGTGTTAGTGATTTCCCCCTAGAGACCTGGACCAGTAGTACAGTTTCACACCTTGCACCGCCCATTGTTACGCCCTTGTTTCATAAACTTGCTGTCAATCATGAAATTGCTGCTGGGATCTCTTTATCCATTTTTTTTCTTCTCCATAATTAACTATAGTGCCATCTTTTCAGCATTGGTACCTATTTGAAACTGGTGTGTGTGTGTGAATATGAACTTGTGATTTTACTGTTTTGTGTTACACCACATCTTCTTTCTCCAAAGTTTGTAGAGAAGGTGAGTCGGTATGGCAGACCTCAAATTCTTATACCAAATGCAGAGAGTTGTATGTATGTATGTATGTATGAAGATTAATTTTGTGCAACTGAATCAACAGGAAAAAGAGAAGATTGATTGGTGGAGCAAATTCTACGCTTCAATTGGAGACCAGGAGAAATGTGCCCCTTACCTCAAGAAAGGATATGACACCCTCAAAGTAATTTGGCGTTTTTTTTTTTCTTTGTATGTAATCACTAAATGTTGGCGCAGGTGCTTCTATTTTGTAAATGTGACTGTGTATTTTCAGGTTTATGACCGTGAACTGGAGGATGTCCCAGATTTCAAAGGGCTGACTGATTTCTGCCACACCTTCAAACTGCTGCGGGGCAAGAATGAAAATGGAGACGAGGACCCCACTGTGGCTGGAGAGTTCAAGGTAGTTTGTGACAAAGATCTTATTCTTACCCAATGTGTTTTGTTGTATTTACCACTGGAGAGACAACAGAATAGAATGTAAAGCTATAAAATGAGCTGAGTCTCCTTGGCTCAGGACCAAGTCCAGTTCAGTAGCAGTGGTAAGATCTGGTTTGTGCCCTTGTCCCTGCAGGGTTCATTCAAGGTGTATCCTCTATCAGATGACCCGGGTGTCACTCCTCCTCCCCAGCAGTTCAGGGAGCTGCCAGACAGTGGACCCCAAGAGTGTCTGGTCAGGATTTATGTGGTCCGGGGCATAAACCTGCAGCCCAAAGATAATAACGGTTTGGTGAGAATGAATCCATATTTCCAGGAATAGCAGCATTTTGTCATATGTGGCCCAGTCAGCAACTTCTGCATAAACTTGTTCTCTCTCCTGCTTAGTGTGATCCATACATAAAGATATTGCTGGGAAAGAACACAATTGAAGACAGAGACAATTACATACCAAACACCCTCAACCCTGTATTTGGAAGGTAAGCTCTGTGAATTGATGTATTTAAAAAAAAAAAGAGAGAGAGATATAGACCATATGTCATGTAAATGGGACATCTAATGCACCTTCTCCCAAACACTGTTTTGTTTAGGATGTTTGAAATGACATGTTTCCTGCCCCATGACAAGGACCTGAGGATCTCTGTTTATGACTATGATCTCCTGAGTCAAGACGAGAAGGTCGGCGAGACAGTGATCGACCTAGAGAATCGCGTTCTATCCCGATATAACTCCTACTGTGGCCTCCCACAAACTTACTGCATGTAAGGATTCTCCCAGGCATATACACAATCTTAGGGTCGTGAAATTATTTTTGAATGTTGAAAGCCAAAAAAAAAAACAGCTGTCAGGATCCTTACCTTCATGTTTGTGTTTTAGTTCTGGTATCAACCAGTGGCGGGACCAGCTGAGCCCGTCTCAGATCCTGGAGAACCTGGCTCGCCTAAAAGGCCTGTCCAGACCAAGGACTGAAGACAACGGCACATCGCTCACCTTCAATGGCAAAGACTACACGCTGGCTCAGTTTGGTAACTGCAATAATTCAGTATAAATTAATGGTGTAGTTGGCGATCCTGGAAAAAACAGCAAAAGGAAGCTTGATTTTGAAAGTAGACAACAGGAGAAATCTCACCCTTTTTTTCTGACTTCTCTCCAAAGCTACCCTCCAAAACTGCACTGTGCATTGCCTTACTACTTGCAGGTTTCAGGAAACTAACCCCCCCCCCTTGTAACATCCAGCTTCCTTTTGGTTGTAACTTTCTCAAATACAGACTTCAATTTGCAACCAAAAGCTGCTGTGGGTGCCTTCTCTGCCATGGGTCACTAGCATTAGCTATGAAAACAGTGGCAACACCTTGTGGGAGACTGGCTCATGCATGGGCAGGGTGTGTGCAAGTAGGAAATAGGTTGCCAGGCAGGAAGGCCCGTCAATGATTTTGCCAAGTAAAATTACTGGTCAGGCTTTTTTCAGCTCGGCTGCTGCAACAGATGGTAGATTTTTTTTTTTTTCTTTGTTGTCAGTGCATTTAATATATTCATTGCCATCAGATGAAAAGAGAAATTCAAGAAATGGAACCAAAATGCTTCTGAAATGAATCACCAACCAAACCTTTTATGTGTTTATAAAAATGACAGCGAGTTACATTTAGATTCATCCTACACCCACATAGATGACAAGTATGATTTACAACCCTCCACAGATGTTTGTTTATTGTTGGAGGCATTTACAACAGTGGCCTGTTGTGCCAAAGATTATCAAATACCTTTATGTAAATTTGCTAAATGATGGTGAAATCAACACAAATACCCAAGTGCAAGTACCATTATACAATTTGAGTCTAATTAAGGTGTAACATGTTTCCATCCAGAGGACAATAAGAAAATTCATCAGCACTTGGGCCCAGCCCGAGAACGCCTCTGTCTGCATGTGCTCAGAACACAGGGGCTTGTCCCTGAACACGTTGAAACCAGGACACTTTACAGCTCCTTCCAGCCCAACCTCTCTCAGGTTTGATGTCACAACGCACAGAAACGTCATCTGCTGTACACAGCGCATGTCCACATGAATTTTGGCTTACCTATTTGGCATATCTTGTACATTATACTGATTTAGGGAAAGCTTCAGATGTGGGTGGACGTTTTCCCCAAAAGCATTGGACTCCCTGGACCTCCTTTTGACATCACGCGACGCAAGCCTAAGAAGTAAGTGCCATGCAACTCTTAGGTACTTTTCATCGTTCACATCAGATCCCACTGAGCTAATGTCCAACTGTGTTTGAATGTTCAGGCATTTCCTTCGTGCTGTCATCTGGAACACCACAGATGTGACTCTAGATGAGACCAGCATCACTGGAGAACACATGAGTGACATCTATGTCAAAAGGTTCACTTGATAGCTCCTTTAAATTCACCTTAGTCTCTGAATTATATGTATACTGTTTGACTTTGCTGACTGATTTTGAAACTGCAACTAGAGCTTCAGCTGATGCAGCTTTGAGGTATTCTAAGTACTGAGTACTGTTTGTAATCTTGCTTGATTCCACCGTTTCTCAGGAACAACCACTCTAAATTGCCCTTTCAGCTGTTTTAGCATAGCTTTTGCAAAACTGTGAAGAGTGAATGATTACCTCTGCTGTTCTCTGTGCCAGCTGGATGCCAGGCATGGAGGAGGACAAGCAGAAGACTGATGTCCACTACAGGTCTCTGGATGGAGACGGCAACTTTAACTGGAGGTTTGTTTTTGGTTTCGACTATCTGCCAGCTGAAGAGCTCTGCCTCGTGTCCAAGAAGGTGAGTTGTCCAGACTCCAAAGAACATACGGGCCATTTTATTACTATACAGATTTTTTAAATTTATTTATTTAAAGGAAAACAATACCGTTCTCATCTTCCCATATTGTTTATTTAACAGGAGCACTTTTGGAGTCTTGACAAAACAGAGTTCAGGATTCCCCCCAAGATGATTGTTCAGATCTGGGATAATGACAAATTCTCACTGGATGATTATCTTGGTAAGACACTTCATTCAACTTCACTGATTTACCTAGAGACTAGCATTAACAAAACCTGACTATCTAATCTGCAATCCCAGGCTCGGTGGAGCTGGATTTGCGTAACTTGGTTGCTCCTGCGAAGACCCCAGAGAAGTGTTCTTTGGAAATGATGAATGTTCTGGAAGTGGGAGCGCCACACAAGCCAGAGCACGCCAAGTCTTTGTTTAATCAGCAGTCGGTCAGAGGCTGGTGGCCCTGTTCCATTGAGCAGGAAGGGAAGAAGGTCCTGGGTGTAAGTGTGGATACAAAGTTGATGGATTGTAAATCAGTTAGGCCTCTTGCTGTAGATTCTTAGCAGGAATTTTGGACAAACTTAAAACTGCCATGTTGTTCATGGAGATCTTTGTGTTGCTGTGTCATGCTCATTGTGTGTGTGTGTGTGTGTGTGTGTGTGTGTGTGTGTGTAGGGCAAAGTGGAGATGACATTAGAGATTGTGACTGAAACCGAAGCAGATGAAAAACCTGCAGGAAAAGGCAGGGACGAACCCAACATGAACCCAAAACTGGATCCTCCCAAGTAAGAACCCACAGTGACATGTATTGCACAATTTACAGACTGGATCTCTAAGAACATTTCTTTAGGTGTGATTTATTTGATTACACTACTTAGTATGAATATAACAATGTGTAGTTTAGTGAACACACAGGCTAGAGTGGCTAACAAATACTTTCTCTATAACCTCTAGACGCCCAGAAACATCCTTCTTCTGGTTCACCAACCCATGTAAGACCATGAAGTTCATTGTGTGGAAAAGGTTCAGGTGCCTCTTCATCGGACTCATCATCCTCATCATAGTGGTTCTCTTTGTTGCCATCCTGTTGTATTCGTTACCGGTAAGGACAGGCAAGAGGGAGCAACTGAATAATCCTGGTCATTATATTCAGAAGTCATTAGTTCACTGTTTGACAGCTTTGTCTTTGTAGGGCAGGTGCAGTGTTGTGTGGTCGCTTTGTGTGTAGTCAATATCGATGACAAATAATGATTTGGTGGTTCTTTCTTTCCAGAACTACATCTCAATGAAGATAGTGAGGCCTCTGTCATAACTCTGCAACGGAGGAGGGCCAGTGGAACTGTGAAGAAAAATTCAAAATGTCCACAGGATCTCACTGGGCACAACTACTGCCAAACCATCTTAATATCTTTTTATATACTGGGTTTTTAACTGACTACAGTGTTTTATAAATGGGGAGTGGTGCTTGCACATTTGGACTATATGGATGTATTTTACCATGAACACTGTCTGCATTGTTAAACTGTGACAGACTTATAAGCAGTACATCTGTGATTTGTCTCCAAACCACTACTTTTGTTACACACTTGAGTGACCAGAAAATGGAAATCCCTGTGCACTGTAATGTAATCTAATACAACGGTCCTTTAATCAAATGTTTCAACTTTTGTTAGGGACAGACAAGGTCTGCAAGAGGTGTTGATTTAGCTTGTTAGGGATTTTTAAGGTTGTAGTTTGTGGTAATGTTGCATTGGATTACACACTACTGCATGGTGTTTCTAATATTTTTACATACTGTATGCAAATGAGGTGACAATTCGTTAAAAGGTTTCACAACTTTTATTACATGAGCATTGTGTTAGATACAGCAGCATTACAGTGTACCAGGGTTTCCATCTTTATCAGTCAGTATAATACTGCCAAATACAGCTAAGGAAGACTGAAGTTACCAGCAATTATATCATATGTTTTGTATTTTACATCTTCAGAGCTTTTAAATTAAATATATTAAACCTCATTCAACAAATGTTGGTGTCAGTGGGGAAAACAAACTAGAAAATTATGGATACATCACAGCTCCTAGAAGTGAAGCCACTGTGATTCAATCGCCCCCTGGTGGCTGGTTGCAATATGTCATAAATCCCACCTCTGCCATGTTAGCAAATGGGACATTGAGCCAAAAACAAATCAGAAATTTTTCCCAGAGGTCACTTCTGTGGTTTTTGGTAAATATCATGCCGATATGTGTCCAAGTGCCCACTTTTCTAGCAAGTTTGTTTTAATAAGCTATTTGATGATATGAAAAGAGGTATTTTGGTTGATTTGACAGCTTTGATTGGCAGTCTGTTGTCATACCACTTCCGGCCACTACTTTGCAGAATCTGGTTGCAAAAAAGCACGATGCCAACCACCGTACTCAATACTTTGGCTTCATTTTTCCATAGCGGAGGGAAGTGGTGGCGCCATGTCTATCATGTATATGCCAATGGAAAAAAGGCATTCTTGTAATTGGTCTAAAACAGCAGTGAACAATATCCGCAGTAGGAGTGTGAAAGTGTGATTTCATAAGAATGTTTCATTTTTGTATCCAACCTGTTGTCTAAGCCTTGAGCCTGACATCTACTGTCATGGTGCCCATTTTTAAATGTCGACTAGACGTATTGGGGGGGGAAAAAAGACTAAATGAAAAGGTTTAATGTATTAAGAACAAAAACTGTACATGACATTTAACATTCAGATATGTACAGCGCCCAGGTCAGTTACACACATTTTCACATGAATTATCAGTTTCTGGGGATGTGTACTTGCACACATCCCTGAATGATGATTGAACAGTCAGGTAAATTATTCTTATTGGCTCCTAAAGGTATAAGAGAGCATTTATTTGTATGGAAGTGTTGCTGGGTTTATTCTTCCTCTGAGCTGTGATGTTTGAAGCACTGCTGCAGGAAAACCTCCACCTCTCCTCTCCGTGCCAGGTTGTTGGCTTTACCTTGGAAACGTCCGTTCTTCCCTGCCCCTTTCCCTTGGAGCATTTCTAACACCCTGGGGAGCACAGAGAATCCCATGGTACCAACCTACATTCATGTATTTTACAGTAAAGGCTAAATAGATGGTGGTGTCTCTTACCGTGGCCCCATCTCAGCCACTGGTTTGATGGGTCCAGCCAGCAGAAACAAACCAGGTCCCTTCTCCTCTCCAACAGTCAGGAAAACCAAAGTTTCCTAAATGTAGACACAACAGGTCTTAAGAACCTTTAACTGCAAACACCAAGAACTGAGCAGCCAGATTTATGACCTTACCTCAGTGTTTATTTCATTGGCAATGATATTCATGAACTCATTGTCACCCTCTTTTCTGCAGAACCAAAAAACACCTTTGTCTGAAATCTTCATATTGATGCTTGTTTGAACAATATTTTAGCTTAAAGGTTTTCTTACTTGTGCATGCTGAAGAAGTTGCCTCTCTGGGGGTCGTTCTTAAAGTTCTGAGCGATGAGGACAGCCATGTCTCGTAGCAGGCTCAGGTTGGTCTGACAAAGACATTTTTATGATTGCTGTTGAGTCTAATCTGCAGCAGACAGCATATTGTCACTGTCAGGCAGAAACACCGTAGGCCTGCCCCCCCCCCAGCATGTTGATCAGCATTTACTGCTGCCTGGGATTTTTAACCAATGAAAAGCTTTAAGAAGGGCTTGTTGGTAATAGCTCACAAGCTTGATTTAAGTAAAATGTCAATAATGACATGCGCGTAAGTGACAGTATATAAAGGCAATACCAACTTTGACAATGTGATGTTGAATTATTTTAGATATAACAATAATATAACTTCACGTACACGCTGTTGTCTAACACTACACAGCGTAGGCAGTGAGTGAGCATCTGGAGAGGAAAATCTTACTTTCTGTAGTAGCTTCACAGACTTCTGCAACCTGTCAACTGCTTCAATGTGTTCATCAGGTCCAGTTCTGTTGAACAATGGAATTTTACACTTCAAACTTTGTGAACATGTTAGACTCACATTGTTTTTTTTGATGATTCCATCCTTGAACTTACTTGAGGAGGGACACCAGTGACCGCTCTGTGCTGTAGCTTTTCTCTGCATACTTCAGAACCCTGTTTCCTGCTAGGAATATCAGGTTGGTTTTATTTTTCTTTCCCTTCTCAGTCCCCAGTAGCTTTATTACCTTAAATTTAGATAAAGTAATTTATTAGAATCACTTGAGGCACACCTAATATTACAGATATGGCATATGAAAATGTGTAACGCAACATACTGTATGTACAACTTCATGGCTTCAGATGTCTCAATTTTATCGGAACGTTATATGAAGTTTGTGTATAGTAACAGTGTGTGTGATTATATTTGTACCTGTAAGTGACTGAGGTTAGACACATGGGTTCCACAGCACATGTTGGCATCAATGCCTTCAATATCAATGATCCGAACAGGCCCTGCATGGTCCTCTGGCAGCCCTCGACTCCTCACCTGCTTCCCAAACACAGCCCATTCAACAATGTACATAAAAAATCTGGATATCCTTTTGGTCAAATTACAGTTTTTCTCTATCGCTTTCATTCATTTCTCACAACAGAATTGAAGTTTGCAGATCTCCAAGTGCATTTCTCAAAACAACACGTACAAACTGCACAACATAGTGGATAACCGGAAAAAGCGC